CTTATATAGTTATATAGGATATAGTTGTCATTTCTTAATAAGACAACAACATAAGATTAAAAATAGAAACCAACCTTTTTAATGACTAATGTTTACCCAAAGTGGAATAAGTGAACTGTAAAGCACACGTTAGACATTCTTCCACATTCTAAGAAGATTTAGGTACTTTAATTGTAATTACATCTATAATTAACGAATTTAATTACATCAATTACTCTCAAATACTTTATATTATATGGATTTGTGGAGCCTCATTATATATCCGCCTTCTTTTCCTTGATTGGTGGCTTCAATTTTAGACGGTGTAGATGGGGGCCACGTATTGAAATACTCGTATGATCAGAGTTATCGACGGTCCAAAATTGCTGCTATAGAATAGAACCCTCCACGTGGGGCCCACGTAAGATGACTTTGATCCTAAGCATCACATGCACCTAATCAGAAAACACGTTTCTGGTTCTACGTTGTGTTGTGTCTGCTTGTAATGACCTACTTTTGTACCTACGTGGCAGCATCATAACGGTGCATTTGTGATGTGCTGTGGAGCTGCGTTGCACCAGATCATAATCTCCGACAATATTAATATGCTTCTCAATGGATGAGGTAGAATTAATTTTAGCTTGTTTTCAAAATGTTGATTGGAAAATTTTAGTATCTCGTGGTGAGGGAATATAATATTGATTAGTATCAAGGAGGAATATGGTAGCTCTAATGATTAAAATAATGGTTTTAAACAATTGGATCCATCTAGAAACATCGAATCGTTAAGCATTCACCGAATATAGTTCTGAAATCAAAGATTTTTCGAGTGAAATTACAGCTTTCTTTATATTGATTGTATATGCTTTGATGTGCCATTCTATTCATCTAATTAAAAACATCAAATCATGTATCTGAAATTTTATTAGATTAATTCTGTTAATCAGTATTTGAATATGAGTATAATTAAACCTATTTAAACTTATCAGCATTCAAAAATCAATGAAAGAAACGTCACTTGTATGAAATTCTCTCTACCATATATAGTGTTGATTGTATCAAGTAGGAAATGATAAAATTAATCATAATTTAGATCAATCCAATGCTGATTCTATCAATTAAAGATGTATGGTTCAAAAAATTAAATTGGACTGTTAAGAACATGGACGTACAAGAACGAGTAATTGTCAACAAGTCAAGTTTTGTAGAGATCAAAATTAGCTGTAAAATCAGAAAGAGAAAGAATCAAATCATACACCAAATAAATTAAAACTTGCATTTTACCACATGATCTTCACCACGTCTTCCCATGATTTTGACATGTGTCAGCTCCACTTTACTCTTCACAACGTGCTACTGTATTATTACTGAAAGAAATGGGCAAAAACCCAAAAATAGTTATTTACAGCTCATTTATTATGTGACGGTTAAAATAAAATTGGAATAAATTCGGCATTATTATAATACGGAGTATTATTCAACGACGTCGTTTTAAGATGGAAATTGGAAAGTGCATTAATGGCGGGAAAACGGTTGAAATTCCCGCCGGATCTAACGGTGGGGACGCGGCAATAATCGTGGCAGTGTTAAATGTCCAGAATGTTTGGAGGGGTAATCTTTGTGGGGTCCATCGAATTCTGACCTTTGGAATGGAGGCCCATATTATTTTTTAATTTTGAGAATTTGGTGTAAAAAAAGTAACGTTTGATAAAATGAAGAGCTCAATTTTTTTGTATGCCACATGGAGCACAACCAAGGCCCTAAAATCCCTAATCCTCTCTATACAAATTTGTTGAGATATTTTGCTTAATTAAACAAAATTAAATTATAAAAATCTTCTTTGTTTGCCAAGATATTTTTGGAGTTTTCAGCTGATAACTTGTTCAATTATTTAAAGTCTGTTTTGTTCATCTTATTTTTACTTATTTTAGGTTTAATAAGTTCAGTCAATTTAATATAAGTTCAAATAAGTTAACTTTAGGAAAAATATATAAGTTCAGTTCAGGAAAAATAAATTTTGATAAGTGTTACCCAAGTTCAAATTATAACTAAATAAGTTTTAATAAGTTCAGATCAGTTCAGATAAGTTCAATTAAGTTTAGATAAGTTAAGTTATGTTTAGATAAGTGAAAATCAGGTGAGTAGAACACACCCTTATTCTTAGCAGAAGTGAAGTATAACGAAGAAAAAAAAAAGATTGATTTAAGTTTAAATTATTATATCTGTTTAAGAAACAAGTAACCTAATTTTATATACAACATCCGTCTCAAATTACTCGCAACATTTTGACTTTTTGCACCTTTCACACATCTCACTTTGACCATCTTTTTTAGCTATGATATGAAAGTCAACGTAATCAGGTAAGATGTTGTTGGGCCTATTTTAATGTATAGTTTTTTAATATAAACTTTTTAAATTATAGATTTTATAAATATAGAATAAAAGATATCGATAATTAAATATGTGTATTGACTAACGTGTCCAGTCATATGTTGCAAGTAAATTGGGACAAAGGAAGTATATTGAAAATTATATACTTCGTAGTGTTTTTAACAACCTATATATAGATTTATTGTTGTTACATGTTGCTGATGTTAGAATTACTAACGGTAGCTGTGATCGTTTGATTATTCGTGAAAAAAATTCTATCTTCAACTTCCAAGAAATTATAATTTATAATATTAAGAGTTTGATTTTCTAGCAAATTACAATAATTATGTAGTGGAGCATAAAACTGTGAGGATCCTATATTTAAAGTTTACCAATTGGATAGATTTTTATTTTATTTTATTTTTAATGCAAGGATAGAGAACTTTTTCTATTGAAAATATATTTTATCTATTCAATACGTTGTCTTTTACACTATTTATATGTTCTATATATTACTAAAAATTCTTTTTGTTTTGACTTTTTTTTATTATTTTTTTATTTTTTATTGCAAAATGCAAACTTTGATTACACTCCCTTCATTTATTTTATTTGTTACACTTTAACTTTTTGGTCTTCAAATGAATATTTTTACCATGGATATGTTTAATTAGATTTATGTAAAAATTATAAAATGGATTTTTTGAATCTAACAATATCTTACACAATATAGTCAAGTTGTTAAGAAGTTGACCACAATAGTCAAAATCTAACAAATAATAGGAATTAGAGAGAGTATGTTCTAAATAACGATATTATGAACTATGAAAAGTGTTAAGTGTAAATACTTAAACTAATGAAATGAATTCTTAAAAATGAGTACAAGTACATTAAAAATCTGACCATTAACAGGTTCTCTTTCATGAACCAAGAAAGTCAATAATAATAATAAAAAAAAAAAAAAACAATACATCACTTGGATCTCCAAAAAATAATGTATTAATGAAATTGTGAATAAAAATCATAGATCATGTCCCCTTACAAAATCCAATTGGAACACTTGGGAGAGAAACTCTTAAAGAGTAGCATGAGCTTTTTCTTAGGAATTGACCGTTTGAAAAAGACGTTTATTTAAACTAAACTCAGGGCGCCAAATTCAAAAAGCTAAAGTGGTGGGCTAGTGATAGAGTAGATAGATATTTTGGATTATACTGTAATTTTATCAAGTGGAGTATAAAATAAAATGAAAAAAAAATACAAGGGCGCCGCAATAAACTCCGGGAGACAATGCGGGCATGTTTTCATCAACAACGTGAGCTGAACATAACAAAAGAAATGAACTTAGTTAACCCAATAAATGAACATGGCAGAAGGATGAAGACACTAAATAGTGGAGTAGAAGAGTAAGAAAGTGGATATGTATATTTAATTAATGAATAGCGGGGGGCATGAACTTACATCCCTATCACGAGCCTTGCATGTCGCATGTCTGAACCTCGTCTTCTTTTTTATCCCCATATTCCCGGTATAGGACACTTTAGTATGGAGTTGTATTAATATTTGCATTAGTATTACTTCGATTTTGGATTGATGATATTTAGCATTGTAGGAAGTTACTCCATACGTTTGAGTAGAGGTGTCAAAATTACATCCGTTTCGACCCGATTCGAAAAATATTCGATTTAGATTTAGACTCGTGTGGACATAATAATTTAGCATGATTCAACTTTAAAAATTGACTTGACCCGACCTCATCAGATCCGATCCGATCATCCGAATTGACACTTCCAATTTTGAGATGACCTTACGATGTAAAATCATTAACATGTCATGACGTATTAAAACAATAATTTTTTTTAAAGTAGTAAATATTGCCTTTTTTTTTTTTTTTTGACAATTAGCAATTACACATTAGCTGATAGTTGTTTGTAATAGATGGCATGGCGGCTATCTTATTAGAAGTCAGTTGGTTTATTTATGTTAATATTGTATATTTGTCAAGTTTATCTTGTTGGGAGTTTTAGGCAAGTTAGGTTTCCTTTTGTATTGTGTATATATATTGTCGTTATAATCAATACAAAGCTTAAGCCGTTTTCTCCAATCTTTCTTGACTTTAACATGGTATTGAAGCCAGCATGACACAAAGGTCACAGGTTCAAATCTCACCCACCTCCCACTTTCAAGAGGAATATTAAGCGTTGGGTATGAGGAGGGTCGGGCTCATGCTGCATCCACACTTCAAGCCTGAGCTCTCGTGTGAGGGGGTGTGATAGAGTATAAAATATATTCCTGGGTTTCAACCATCAGCTTAAACTTTTGGTTGAGTTGGTCTTTTAACATTGTATCACAACCTCTCTAATTTTTAGAGATTTTTTTTTCCGATCCTGGTTTGTTCATCCATTCTTATTTTCCGCGATTAAATTTGTTTTGTTTTGAGATTGAGGCTTCAATTTTTTTTTTCCACAATGGTTTATTCGAAATTAGGGTTTACAATCCTACTTTCTGTTTTGTTGGTGTGCGTGTGTTTAGGGTTGCGATGCTCTGTAGGTGTGCTGCTGTTGTGGTGCGCTAGTAGTGTTGCGTGCTGTGTGGTGTGTTGGTGTAGTGTGGTCTAGTTGTTTTTTTTTGTTTGGTGTTGCTCGTGACTTATTGCGATGGGTGAAGGAGATCCTCCTCCTCCTCCTAAGTACAAGCCGTTCACAGATTATTACCTTCATCCGAGTGAAGGTTCTCAGTTGGTGATTTTTCCGGTGCTGCTTACTGTCCACAACTATGAAGAGTGGTCGAGATCGATTCACAACAACCTTCGTTCCAAGAGCAAGCTCGGGTTTGTCGATGGTTTTATTGCCAAGCCCGATGCTACACACGCGGATTATCGTCTGTGGGGTATTGTTAATTCTACTGTTGTTGCTTGGATTTATAATACTCTTGATGTTAGTATTCATTCTAATGTTATTATTCTTGATGATGCTTAAACATTGTGGGATGACTTACGTGATCGTTATTCTCTTGGTAACGATCCCCGTATTTTTAAACTTAAGCATGATATTGCTGATTGTAAGCAAAGGGGTCGTTTGTTGTTGTTTATCATGGTGAATTTAATAAATTGCAGAGCTTGTTGTCTAGTTATGTGAAATTGCCTGCTTGTACTTGTTTTGCTGCGACAGAATATGCTAAGTTGCATGAAAATGAGTTGTTGCATCAGTTTTGTCTTGGTTTGGATCCTAAGAAGTTTGGTTATGTTGTTTCCATTTTGTTGATGAGTGATCCTTTGCCTACTATGAATGTTGCTTATGCTAAAGTTGTTGCTGATGAGCGTAAGCAATTGGTGTCTGAGGCACATGAGACCTCTTCTTCTTCTATGACTGTCGGTTTTAATACAACAGGTACGACTTCGGTCGAACATCGGAGCGGAATGAGTGTATTTATTGTAAGAAGTCTGGTCATGACACTAGCAGATTAAAGTAAATGGGAAGCCACAAATGGGAAGCGGTTATGGAATTCCGCTTCCAAAAACACTTATTTTTAAAAAAAAAACCAAATCAAGCAAATGGGAAGCGGTTATGGGTGAACCGCTTCCAAATCGTGTAATTAGAAGCGGTTTGTACAGTGAACCGCTTCCAGAAGATGCTTAATATAAAAATCCCATTTCTTCTCTCTCCTCCCTCCCCTCATTTCTTACGCTCTTCTTCTCTCTCCTCTCCTTTCTCACGACCTTCTTCTCTCTCCTCTCATTTTTCTATCTCCATCTTCTTTCTCATTTATGCCTCATTTCTTTCTCCTCTCTCCCCTCCATTCTCACGTCTGCTCTCTCTTCTCTTTTCTTCATCTTCTTCTTCTTCATCCTCCCATTACCCAAATCTCTCCGATTTCACTGAGCAGCCCACAACACCCACCGAGCAACCACCAAGCTTTTTAGGTAAGAATTTAGATCTAAATTTTTGTTTTTTCTGGATTCGTGTAAATTTTTTTTGAGATTTTTTTTAATTTTTCCTGGGTTTTTTTTAATCTAGTTAATGTTTTTATATTTTTAAATTTGGTTTTTTTTTTTATTTTTTCTGTTTTTTTTTTAATTTTTTTTGGGTCCGTAATTAATCTTTTCTGGGTTCAAATTTGTTATGGTTTTTTTTAATTTTTTTCTGGGTTCGTAATGTTCGTATTAATTTGGATCTGGGTTGGTAATTTTTTTGGGTTTTTTTTAATTTTTTCCGGGTTCGTAATCTTCGTACTAATTTTTTTGGGTTCGTAATCTTCTTATTAATGTTTTCTGGGTTCAAATTTTTTCTGGGTATTTTTTTTTTTTTTTTTTGTTGATTATAGATAAAGATGTTGATTTTTATGGGTATTTCAATATGTATGGCTATTTTAATTTTTATGGGTATTTTAATTTTTACGGTTTTGGGTTCGTAATTTTTATGTGTATTTCAATTTAATTTTGCTTTTTGAAGGTTGGATGCGAGGTGGTGTTGGTTGCGGTGGTGGGCTGTTGGCTTTGGTTACGGGGGTGGGCTGCTAGCGTCGGCTGGTGGCGGGCTGGTGGCTTCGACTGCAGTAGTGGCGGATTAGGGTGGTTTTAATATTGGTTGTATTTTTTTTTTTGGTGTTGAATATTTATCATGTAATATTACAATTAATTATTAATGAAAATATAATTTTTATACTTGTGTTTTTATTTGTGTATTAATTTTTGTTAAAAAAAAAATTCAATTTTTTTTTTAAATGTCATAATTGGAAGCGGTTCAGCATTAAACCGCTTCCAATTCCCTTCAAATTGGAAGCGGTTTGAACCGCTTCCCATTAAATGCGACAATGGGAAGCCCCTTAATGGGAAGCGGTTCAAAAACCGCTTCCAATTATGGTTTTGAACCGCTTCTCATTTACTATTTTCTACTAGTGTGATAGGGACCATTGTTATGAGCTACACAGCTTTCCAGGTGGAGGTCGTGGTGGTCAGTCGTCTGGTAAGGGCAAGGGTGAGTTTGCTGGTGCTGTTGGTAGCTCTCGAGTTGCTAATGAGCAGGTCTCTGATTCTGATCATGGGAGTGTTCCGACAAATTCTGATGCTCAATGGAAGAAAATCATGACTGCGGTAAAGGGTGCTAAGTCTGGTTCCTCGTCGGACGGAAACAAACTTGGTACGTATGATTCTATTTAGTGGCTCATTGACACTGGAGCTTCAAATCAAATGTCTGGTAACATTGATCTTTTTACAGATTTATATGATATTTCTTCGCCTGTTGGTTTGCCCAACAGGAAGAGCACGACTGCTACTAAAGAAGGAAGACTTGTTTTGTCGGATGGTTTAACTCTTGATAATGTTTTATATGTTCCTGCTCTTAAATGTAACTTGTTATATGTGTCTCAATTGTTAGAAAAACAATGTTATTTTATTATGTTCACTGACAAGCTATGCATTATTCAGGACCGCAGTTTGAGGAACTTGATTGGAGCGAAGGGGCAGTGTGATGGGGTCTATATTTTTCGTCCGATTCGTGCTCGGAATCTACAGGCGAATAAAGTGGTTATTTCAGATGCAAGTTTGTTATGGCATAGGCGTCTCTGGCATCCATCCATGCAAGTTGTGAGCTCTCTTCCGACACTTTCTAGTAGTCGTAGTACTTATAGTAGTTACTCTAGCTGTTCTTTTGATTGTGAAATTTGTTTTATAGGGAAGCATCCCTGAAACTCTTTTCCATTGAGTATGAATAAAGCATCTCAAATTTTTGGTTTAATTCATTGTGATGCTCGTTATTTCCTAAAAATTGTTGATGATTTTTCTCATGCTACTTGGGTGTTTTTGATGGTTGGAAATTATCAAGCTTCACTGTTGATCCGTGAGTTTTGTGTTATGGCCAAGACTCAATTTGCTAGAAAGTGAAGGTGGTTCGTAGTGATAATGGTCAAGAGTTTCTTAGTTTGGGGTCGTACTTTGCAAAGAAGACATCTTACATCAAACGTCGTGTGTTGACACGGCTCAACAGAATGGTAGAGTTGAACGGAAACATCGTCACATTTTAAATATGGCTTGTGCTCTTCGGTTTCAAGCAAAGTTGCCTAAGTATTTTTGGGGTGAGTGTGTGATGACTGCTGTGCATCTGATTAACAGGACTCCAACTCCAGTTCTCAATGGTAAGACCCCTCATGAGTGTTTGTTTGGTCAAGTTTCGTCTTATGCTAATTTACGGGTGTTTGGTTGTCTTGCTTATGATGTGAATCGTCCTCGGATTAAGGATAAGTTTGACTCTCGCTCCCAGAAGTGTATTTTTGTTGGGTATCCGCATGGAAAGAAAGGTTGGGGGGTCTTTTTAATTTGGATAAAAGTGATTTTTTTGTGAGTTGGGATGTTCAATTTTTTGAAGATAAGTTTCCATATCTTGAATCACTTCCGGATGAACGAAGGTTGTTATGGGAAAAGTACTTCTCGAACCCACCAGGGTGGGATGACGATACGGAGGTCGTGGGGACTAGATTTGGTGTGCATGAGGGGGGGAGTCACAGTCGATGCAGTCCAACCCGCAACCCGGCTGCGGGAGCAGCAGCCCAACCGCAACCAAGCTGCGGAGTACGCTGCCGAGCACCCCCCCGCACGGTTTCCAGCGCCCGCAGGTTCAAGGGCTGGCATTCCCCAAGACGCTACTGTCCAGCCTGTAACACCTTAAAAATTCCTTTCCTTTAAAATACTTGCTTTGCCCTTTTTAAAATACGAAATAGGAAATTCTATGACATTACCGCCACCGTGAGAATGACTAAGGCAATTATCAAAGATACAAAGCAAAAGACTTGTTTTTAAAACCACTCAAAAATAAAACCAACACTTAAAAGTCAACCAAACGAAAGTAAAGACAAACCAAAGTTGAACGTAGTTAACCTACAACTTGGAACCATTGTAGGCCCTTTTTCAAAACCCAAACGAATATTAAAATCATTGTGTTAGTCTCACAAGCAAATATATAATAATAAAGCAAATTAAACACATCATATTCTTATGGAAATAAACAAGATTCGCTCTTTACTCATGCCCATCATGAAAATGCTCCATCACCTGAAAACCTTCTCTTTACTTTGTCCCCACTACTCGCCAGTCGTCGTAGGGCGAAGATAAAGATAAGGCGAAATAAACATACGATACACACAATCAGCAATGCTGAGTACATAAGCGTAAATGATTCGCACTAACATACACACATCCTAGCATCACACAACTTACTTTGTTTCACCTGTTTACAAGCATACAACACACTTTTCATTTAATAGACATTTCCATTGCTTATATAATTTGATTACGCACCGAACGGTATTCCCCCTAACCTCTCCAATAAAGGGGTACTAACACGAGAGCTAACCGTCCCAGTATAAAAAATAAAAAAAAAAACCACTCGTAAGTGGCGGAATTCCTGCGCATGATAAAAAGGAAAATACAGCATCCTGTACTCCCAGTAGAAGCTATGGTTAAATATAAAACCCCATAACTCCCCTCATATGTTCATACTCGAGGTATATACGTTCCAAGAGTTTTGGTTCGTAATCTCTATCACTTTACGTTGTTTACATATTTTAAACTTGGTAATGACTCTCATTCCACAACACAATCAATCATCACAAATCATTCAAGCAATCAAACATACCAATTTAATTCTTGAATAATTATTGACCACATTTAATTTAATGTTGAACCCTTTTTAAACTACCTTGGCGTTAATTAACACCTCAAGGGCATAATGCACCACAAATCCTATCCCTCAGTGTTTAGAACACATTAAGTGCACTTAGGCACCAAAATATAATTTTATTTTTTGTGTACATGGACATTTAAATAGCTCCTTTCTCATACTTATAGCATCAATAAAAATTATATGAATCATAATAAAATTCCCTTTCAGTATTCTAAACTCAATTAAACATTTAGTTAATTAAATATGCTCTCAATCATGCCAATAATAAAAGTGTGGTTCAATAACAATATTCCATGATCACCAAATCCAATAAATAAATTATTTCAACCATCCATGCTTCATACATAATTCACCAAAAACCTTTCCAATTCAACAATCCAATTCAATTCTCCAATTCCAACCTACTAATTTGTAATCAATTAAAATAATTCCTAGCATGATTCTACGTGCTAAATAAATTCCGAGTACGCGTACGTACCTCGAATATGATCTCAAAATCGCCAGGACTACATGAAATCACTCACTTGGAAGTCTCCTATAACCCAAAATTAAAAAGAGACATTAATATCTAGTCATAATAAATTTCAAGCAATATATACACACTTTAAAAACACTTTTGGATATTCTAAAACATGTTGAAAATTAATTAAAACCATCTACTTTTATTCTCAATAATGAGTAATTAAAATACATTCAAGAAAACTTAATTCTAGCCTCTACATAAAAAATTCCAGAATTATAAAACTCTTAAACTTGTTTTAATTTAGTTTAAAAACATTAATTTCAATAGTTTTAATCAACCACCATTAAATTCCATCAAGAAACATCAATTTAGAAACCTAGAGTTTACTAATTTAGGGCTTTTAATTCAAACACCAAATCTGAAAATTATATACATATTAATCATTATTAAAACATTATAAAATCATCACACACACCCAAAAACAATAATTAATCAAAGCTAGATTGATTTAAAACAAAAGAAGAATTTATATATATATATATATACACAACCGCACGCACGGGGGAGAGGGTTGCTACTGCCCTCCACGTCGGTGGCTTCTGCTGCTGGTGGCGGTGGCCAACTGGTGGAAAGTGGCGGTGGTGGCTAGCCACCCTAGTGTGCGTGTGTGTGTGAGTGTTTGTGAGGGAAAGGGGAAAATTAAGGAGAGAGAAAAATAAGAGGAGAGAGAGAAAGAGTTTACCTTTGGATATTCTCTACCTTGGACACAGTCTCATTTGATCATAAGATGGGTATTTATACTCCCTCTCAAACCCTTTGAACTTAATTTTCGCTTTTACCCTTAATGATCCCTATTCCCATTCAAATTGACTCTTGACTTTCCTTAAAACTCCATTGACTTTAAAACTTTCTTTTATAAAATAAATATGCCCCAAAGTTTCTAAATAATGAATTAAAATATTTCCAAAATAAATAAATAAATAAATAAAAAAGGATTTTTAATTACAATAAACCTTTTTAAATTATTAAAATACCATAAATAATTCATTTCAAATAATTTAAAACGCCATAAAATAATACTTTAATTTAATATACGTATAAAAATACGGGGTATTACAAGCCTGCTGGGATACCAGTGCCCGCAGGTCTGGACATCAGCGAAGCAGCAACACGACAACACTATAGTACTCAGCCAGCCAGTGCTGGGCAGTCAGCGCTCCAGCCTGGTCTGGCTAGGCAGTCAGCACGGCAGCCACCGTTGTTGAGCAGTCCGCACCCCAGTTAGCGGCTGCTCGGCAGTCGGTGGTGGTTGTTGACGGTGGTTCGCCTTTCGGAGGTGACGACACGCAAACCCGTAATGTGGTTGAGCAACCTATTGTTGACGAAGATATTTCTTTTACTACTCTTGATTTAAGGGGGAGTTCGTTGGAAACTCTTGGTCGTGGTCATCGTGAGAAACGTTCTCCTTCGTGGCATCGACATTATGTTACGAACACTGTTATTACTGAAAATATAGACCCCGCTACATCAATTTTCCTCCCTCCTAAATCTTGTTCTTCAGGTAAACCTTTAATTGCCCTATAGCTTGTCATGTTCGATATAATAGTTTTTCTATGAGACACATGTGTTTTTTGGCGGTCATCTCTAAGGGAAAGGAACCGTCTTCGTTCAAAGAGACAGTTAAAGATGTTGGTTGGCGTAAGGCAATGCAAGATGAGATTGATACTTTAGAGCGTAATGGCACATGGACCGTTGAGGATCTTCCTCTCGGTAAGAAGGATATTGGCAGTGGTTGGGTGTACAAAATCAAATATACTGACAAGTCCAAGGTGGAACATCTTAAGGCTCGTTTGGTTGTTCATGGCAATCGACAGGTTGCCGGAGTTGATTATAGTGAGACGTTTGCTCCTGTTGCAAAGATGGGTATGGTACGTCTTTTTCTAGCTGTTGTTGTATTTTTGAATTGGGAGTTACATCAGATGGATGTTCATAATGCGTTTCTTCATGGTGATTTGGATGAAGAAGTATATATGTAGTTTCATCAAGGGTACGACACTCCGACGCCTGGCAAAGTTTGCAGGTTGCGGAAGTCTTTGTATGGCTTGAAACAAGCCCCAAGGCAGTGGTTCTTGAAACTGTCTAGTGCTCTACGAGGTTTTGGGTTTAAAAACTCATATGCCGATTAATCCCTATTTAGCTATGTGTAGGGCAGTGTATCTTTGCATTTTCTTGTCTATGTCGATGATCTGATTATTGCAGGGTCCTCTCACGAAGCTATTGTTCGGTTTAAAGCCTATTTGTGCAAATGTTTCTATATGAAGGATTTGCGGTGTGCTTAAGTATTTCTTGGGCATTGAGGTTGCTCGTAGTTCGGAGGGTATCTATCTTTCTCAACGAAAGTACGTTTTGGATATCTTGACTAAGGCAGGTATGTTAGGTTGCAAACCCATTGATACTCTGATGGAGCAGAATCATCGACTTGCACATGCTACGGGTGAGCCGTTTGCTCATCTAGATCAGTATTGTCGGTTGGTTGGACGGTTGGTT